ATATGGTTGTTTTAAGTAATGTTATTTAATGTTAATAAATGGAACAATGGAAGTAGCTAACCATTAATGGTAAAGAAAAAAGTGAGATCGCGTATGTAAGTGCGCACATGTGAAAACATATCGTCATTTCTCTACATAAGAATATGAAAGCAGCACTTATTTACTGTTCATATAAATTTTAATTAACGTTTCTGAAATTAAAAAAAAATTCTACCCACCAGTGGTGGTAAAGTTGAAAACATAAGGTCAGCCAATGTTGTTGTGTGTTTTTACTCGGATGACAAAGTTGCCAAGCCATCAGGTTAACTCTAGCTAAAGCTGTAGAACATAAGAACTTTTCTGTGTTGTTTTTAGTTTTTATTTAACATTATCTGTGTTTTTTCATTGGTTTATTAGGATGTTGCTTTATTACAGGTAGTAATTCGCCAAAAAAGTAGGGTAAATAAGGCCAAATTTAGCCAAACATCGAAAATACCAGACTCAAATTAATTTTCTCCATGTGCAAACTAAAATCGTTCCCGACCACAGGAGTTTCCAGACCACAGAATGCCGGACTAGAGAGGTACAACCTGTATTAACAAATTATTTGAATATTTTAAGTAGTAGCCCTTTAGAGAGACACTGTAATGTACTCTATATTTGTTAAAGCAGTTGGATTAAATGTAGAAAAAAAATTAATGGATATAAAAAAATTACAGTTTTGTAAAAAAAAAAATTAAAACGAACCAATGCCACAAACCTTCCACTACAGAAAAAGAAAGATAAACTTATCTGTTGTGTACACTTCCATGACATAACAGTTGTCAGTAGCTGCCAACATAATGAAGGTAGTTTCCTGTACTATATTTTCCAGTGACACAAACACTGATACAGGTAGTCAGCTTTTCTGAATCACTTGGTTTATTATCATAACCAAAACATAAGGTTCTTTGTAACAAAATGAATTTACTGGCAACTACTGCCTCGTCACACCAACCTTACGATTTTCAACCAGTCTTTAGCTTAAGTGTGCGGTGAAGGAGCCAATTAAGACCGCGGTGAACGCCTACAAGGGTCTTCACTTCTACATCACATATCTGAAATGATACTGTTATTAGTTTAGGCATATTAGGGATTTCTTCTGCATCAAAAAAATTTAAATTTAACACATTGGAACTAATTTACACCATACACAGTACTGTACAGTAAGTAAGAAATTGGAAAGAGACTTGAAAAAAAAGATGGATGTGAGAAATTGAGTATGGGATAGTGTCTAGCTTTGTGTAAGAATAGAATGCCATGAATAAGACGATACCTCGCCCAACTTGATATTAAAAAAAAAATAATAGTTACTTTTATATATATTTAACTGACTCAGATGTGTGCATGGCCAAAGAGCATAATGTTAAATGGTTCTTGTTAATAGATGTGATACTAGGATTACAGTAGACCCTCAATATAAAAAAGTGATTCAATAAAGTATATACTGTACTACTCCCATTTTGTTACTGTGCAGTAAAATTTTATTATTCAACATTGTAAGCCCAGAGCTCAGCTGTGAAAAAATAAATAAAATCAAATGAAAATATATGAAAAATATCAGAATACTTAAACATTGAGGTTCACTTTGAATAAAGCTTTTTGATTAAAGAAAAAGAAAAGCCATATGCATGGAACCCATAATAATAAATACCATTGCTTGGGCAAGAAGTCACTTCTCACCCTGTTCCCTTTGTCTATGCACATAACTGGAAATCAAATTTTAATTGGTTAAATTGAGCCACAACCATAAAATCCTTAGAGTGGTCTCCTAGGAGATGCATATCATTCTGAGTGGAAGTAACAGGTAAGCTGATCTCAATTTGTTCCATTTTTCACTAAAGGGACAGGGTTGTGACGGCAAAGCCAACTTGGTTATTTATGAAATAGCTCCAGTCAACATTCAGGGGATCCCAAGAACCTTAAGTGTTCAACCAGTAGATCTGTCTGACTTTACCTGAGTCACCTGTGCCAGACATAGGGTTATATTATACACCCTTGTAGACAGATGACAACTCTAACTAACTCCCACCTTGACCCAGAGCCATTTTCCAATCCCCTGCTGATAATTACGTACTGTACAGTAATTAATGTTCCTTTGTAAAACTTTATCGCAATTTGAAGTACCTACCCACACACACCATGCACTTCTAATACATTACATTCCATGCTTTCCCTGAGTCAATTATCATCATCTACTTTCTACAGAATGGACAATTTAGAATTTTCCTTAAATTAATCATTCATCCTGTCAATGTTAGCTATTGTTAACAGAAAGATTTCTTCTCCCTCATCATTACTCTGTGAATCTTCATCAACATAAAAATACAGTATAACAAAGGTCACTATATTATTCGAGAAACAGACAACAACATCTGAGAGTGATACTCACAGCCCATGGCAGATCCAGCGTCCCAAGAACACTATGTAACATGGTAGGGCGGTGACGTGCTGGATGACCACTGTGATAGGCCTGGGATTTATTACACGTATTTGCAAAATCATCACCGTCAAAGTCAGAGTCGTTAGATATGGGCTGAGGGTCATCCATGTGTGCTAGGAGGACAAGGATGGGTGGTGATAGTTCTGAAGGGATCGTCCTCATCATTGCTTCTAGCTCCAGCACATCAATTGTGTGAGAATTTGTGCAGCAGACATTTTGTTTTTTGTTATACAAGCTCTTGTTACTGCTATTGTCACAGTGACATGTGGCATCCATGTAACATATTAAACCATCAACGCGTGGGATTACCTGAAAAAACATTAGCGTAAGACAAGAGTACCAGAGCAATAATTAATAATATTTGTGAAATATACAAACAAAAACTACTTAATATTTAAGTGAGGTGAACAGGTCAAATGGACAAATAGGGCAGTTGAATGTATGTTGGCTTCCTAAAAACTAACTCCCACTTTTGATAGGCCACTTTTTTATCTTTTTACAATGACAATTAGTATAATCCAACAAGTGAAGTTACACATCTTCCAAGTTCATCCAGTCATTAAGTGCTACTTTTTATTGAGTCGGATATCTTTCTGTACACCTGGATGGATTTATATGCTTGGAATATGGACATCTTTCTATACATCCCTTTATAGTAATTACTCATAAATAATGAGGTTGATATATTTCTTTTGACAAGTGATCACAATTCTTTTATTTCTAAGTAACTCATTTTCAATCTCTGAAGGAAAGTGCCTTGGTCTAATGCAGCTAAAACCTTTTTCTGCATTCTAGCAAGCAGGAATTACAAACCTGCCTTGCCAACTCCTTCCACCCTGTGAGTTGGTATAAGGGAAGTATATCCAATAAAATTTTCTTCAACATGCCTGATAGCATCTGGAGCTGTGTCCATCCTCTAGTCTCTGCTGCATTTTATGGGCTGGTGCCCTGTTTGTGGTGGTGAGAAGCAGAAATATCCTATTCTGGTTTTACCTAATAGTTGCCATTAAGTAATCACGGCTAACCCATGCAAGCATGGAAAATAGTAAAAAAATGATGATGATAGTCCAGCAAAATGTAGCAATTACCATACAAATGTCCAGCTGTCAATCCATCCTCAAAATTTCTGTATACTGTACAGTACATCTAGAACTTAGTATATTACAATGAGGAAGCTAATGAGTCCTAATTTTAGAACTGTACAAATATAACTTATTAACAGAAAGGAAATAATGATTAACTCATATTTTATCCTCTTCACCATTGATTGGCTCGTTAGCCACTTGGGCAAGAGGTCATGTCTCTGTTACACATTGTTGGCAAGTACTGGGTAAGCACTGGCTCCTGAATGTATCTAAACCTGCTCCAATGTTGGTCAAGTCTAGTCTTGAAGGCGCTCGCACTCGGTGCCATCGCGACACTCTCTGGCAGACTGTTCCATGAGTCACGACTCACTCCGAAAAAGTTTGCCCTCACAGTTTTCTGGACTTGCAGCTTCTTCAACCTTGAGCTGTGACCACTTGTGGGGCGAGCGTCCGCCAGCTCCAGGCATGGACACACAACGGAGTAGTGCCGTTTGAGATGTTTATACACCTCAAATAGGTCCCCCCCTTGTCCATCTGTAGTACTGTATAAACTAGACAACTACAGGCTCTCTAATCTCTCTGGGTAGCTGAGGTGCCGAAGTGCAGGCACCAATTCTCAACGACAGTCCCTAGCATATCTCGGGGACTATGCGGGGAAGCACCTCACTCCTGAAGATCATTACGAGGGATGGACCGTCTAGATATCTGAACAACCTTCTTATCAGGCCTAATAATTTTGTTGCTTGATTCATCTTCTCACAAATGGTCCGAGAACTTCGGTTCATTGTCAACATACATATCCAGGTCCTTTTCACATTCAGTCTCAAGTAATGCAGTTTCCTCACCCCGTTGGGACATATGAGACACCTCCTTACCATTGGTACATCCCAAGTGCATCCTCTTAGACTTCGTGATATTGAATTTTAGCAGCCATTTCTTTGACCATTCTTGAAGCTCACAGAGACCTTTCTGCAGCTCTTCACAGTCTGCTTGGTTCTTAATTTCCCTAAATAACTTGGCACCATCCGCAAACATTTGTCTGGTGGAGTGTATAGCTTCTGGCATGTCATTTATGAAGGAAACAAACAACAGCAGGCAAAATACACTGCCCTATGGTACCCCGCTTGTCACGGGTACACATGACGATTTCGTGCCATTCATCACCACACACTTCTTGTGATCATACAGAAAGTCTGATCCACACTAGGACACTTCCCTGAATCCAGTACCCTCCCAGTTTAATTTTCAGCCTTTCATGGGATACACTGTCGAAAGCCTTGGCAAAATCTAGGTATACATTGTTGATGCTACCACCCTGTTCCAGGTTATATCTGAGAGGTAGAGTGCTCGATAGCAAATAAAAGGGGCATTAGTACTACAAAAGTCACGAGGGCAGCAAGCTGAAGACATTCAAAACAAAATAGGGATAAAAAATATTATTGAGGCTGCTGAAAATACATCAGGATTTGGTTTAGAGAATGAGTTTAAGGACTTAACTTTCTAGCAAAGAATTTCGTGTCTGGCTCACCAACAAAACCTGTTTTGATACGGCAATAAGAACTAATGGTTTGGTGAAACATTCCAAGTTTGTAAACTACCTCAGCAACATCAGGATGAAATGTTGTACCATTGGGTCCATCCACCAAGAGTCGAGGCCGAGCTCGTCGAACTGTCAAGAGGTTCATCAAATGGTGTCCATACCTCACTGTAACACCACCCCCTGTAAATGATGAACAATTGATAAACACCATCTTTTTTTTGTAATCTCAAGTTCTCAGCATTTTTTCAATACCTTTCTCTTCAATTTTTTTTAGATTTGCTTCTCTCACATTAGTCACAACTGTTACAATAGCCTGTATTGTACAGTATAAAAAAATTCTCTTATAAATATATTTAGACTTGAAAATATCAGATACACGTATCTATATAATAAATGACCCTTAAGCATAAAATCATATATATATTTGGTTTCTTAATACTATACAGTTCATTTCACTAAATTCTCCCTACACTTTATCTTAAACACAGAACTTTTAATACAGTACATAAGAAATTTATATATCAACTTTGTCTACATATACAGTACAACAAGAAAATAACCAGTGAGTTATGCTGTACTTACCAACCCCCCCTGGCTTGCCTTTAACCAGTCCAACAGTTTCAAAGGTGGAGTCCTTAGATGCTATGAAACTGAGAGCCAATTTCTTGGACACTTTTGTTTCAGGCATACCAAAAAGCAGAAAGGTTGGCGCACCTTCACCCTTAGAAAATGGCTGAAAGTATATGAAATAACAAGCTACAATGTTTTACATGAAGTATGCAAGTATATTCATTTATTTATTATTTTTATTCGACCTTTTGCATGGGGTGGATCAAGGGATACAGAAACCTCAAAGGGGTGAAAATGACAGGGAAAAGTAATGCAAGAAAAGTGCAAAGAGACGGTATTGGGGTGAAGACAACAAGTATAACCTGCTGATATCTCTTCCAGTACACCTGCATCAAACAAAACCAGCAATTAATACATTACACTTATGTTTCTGGTCACTCCAAACAAACAATATATTAACATGTATATCAAATTCACTACCCCCCATCCCCCGATTTATGTTTAGCAGCAGTGTTGTACGCGTCAAAAAAAAAAAGTGGCGCCGCCAGTGTCAGCGGCCGAGAAGTTGATGCCGTTAGCGTCAGCGTAAACGATTTCATAAATTTATGCCGTTAGCGTCAACGAGTTTTCAGTGACGTACAAATGCAGCCCCGAAACGCATCTTCTCCTGTGTATGGGAGTAACATATGCAAAATAAAAAAATATTCATTCATTTTTAATCATTTACTATGATTTATATTTTATTTTAATTATTCATTTGTTCCCCCGCAAGAATATTAGCATCTCAATATGCTTGTCGCTCATTCTGCTGCGCTTGGGCCTCAAGACGTCCTTGCCCATGGAGAAAATGCACTCCACAGCAGCACTAGAGGGGATGGGGGTGTTGTATTTGATGAACAGCTCCCTCTTTTTTTTTTATCCTCTTCACCACTGATCGGCTCTTTAGCCGCTTGGGCAATCGGTCATGTCTCTGATTACTTTTCCTTTTCTTTTATCCTCTTTACCAAAAGATTGGCTCGTTAGCCGCTTGGGCGATCGGTCACGTCTTTGTTACACACTGTTAGCAAGTACTGGGCATGCACCGGCTCCTGAATGTACCTGAACCCGCTCCAGTGTTGGTCAAGTCTTGTCTTGAAAGAGCTCACACTCGGTGCCGTCACAAAACTTTCTGGTAGATTGTTCCAAGAGTTCACAACTCTCACTCTGAAAAAGTTTGCCTTCACAGTTTTCTGGAGTTGCGGCTTCTTCAATCTTGAGCTGTGACATGGCCTTGTTGGGGAAGGTGTCCTTGTCGAAAGTTTTTTTTATGGTTTCTCCCCCAATTAACGCTTGAAAAGGTCAGTCTTTTTCATTCCTGCGGGGTGTCTCGTACAAGGCCTGGAACAATTCATCCTCCACATCATGGTCTTTGCCGTCTTCCTCACTGCTGCTCTCAGTCTCGTGCATGGACTTTTCCAACCAACCTGGACAGCTGGTTGGTGGCCTTTTTCCTGACTTGAAAATTCAAATCTGTAGAAAGCTGCGCAGGTGCACGGGCGTGACAATTTTTCCTGGTCGTCTTTATAACAAGATAATTGAAAATCGAACTTGGAAAAAAAAAAATTATTAGTTGAACAAATTAACGCTTGACGCTCCGCTCTGGTGAAAATTTGACTGCGTCTCCTATAGCGTCACCTGCCCAAAAAATTTATGGCGTCAGCGTTAACAAAGAGTTGCCGTCGTCCATTGACGGCGTTAAATTAACGGCGTCAACGTACAACACTGCTTAGCAGGTAGCAACGTTGCCACACAAAGTTATGTCTGGTGTGTAGTTTGAATTATTTTAGTGCTCATTGCAGCAAAAATAACATTTGTGTATATCTAATAGGTATGACAGAGAATATGGTTCCCTAATTTGGTAACATTTTATTAAAACAACATAAATAGAACCAATATAAATTGGTGACTTGCTGTATATATCTGCACAATATTAAGTAATCCATCTGCACTGTTTGTCCAAGAAGCATTTTATGAATACAGTACAGTACTGTAGTGACTAGTCTCACCACCGAGTTTAAGTTTGTTTGCACCACTGTAAGTAGAACTGTATTCCATTGTTACTGTTCTGGTACTTTTGCTAGGACATCATTCCTGGAGACTCCCCAAACCATTCTTATAATATTCCTAACATGAAGGTACCAGGTATAACTGTTTATGGCAGGGAGGGAATTATGTAATACAGTATCTACTAATATCTTAAAAAAATATTAAATTCCAAACATCTGTGGTTCTGATCATTTCTGGTAAGAGAGATCCTACCACACACACACACACACTTAGGTATCAAACTTAATACAACTTACATCAGACAGAGAATTTTGTGGACTCCCACTACTAAATATACTAAGCATATTTTCGAACAACTCTGATAAACCCATCGAGGCAGTAGGTGTGGCCATCTTGGAGAGAAGGTTACCAAAATCTAGGTCCTCGTGGTTTTCATCATTACAGGAATCTGGATTTAGTATTTCATAACTGAAAGAAAATTATATTTGTGAAATGTTAACATCTTGTTAATGAAGCAGTCAAGAATAATAAATATCTATTTTCTTTTATAAAGCTGTAAAGTACTGTAATTGTATTTATGAATGTACAGTTATACACACATTATATATACTGTACTGTATATAAATTTTACAGTACTATATAATCTTACCCATTTCTACACCATATGTTAAATGACTTCGAATAAAGACCCAATGTTGGGAGATAACATTAGTACAGTACAGTACTGTACTGTATGTACAACTTAAGGCTACAATTTCATGGACTTTTGTTTTCACACTACATGAACACATAAATCTGGTCAACTTACAGAAGCTTGTTATTGACGAGCAGTGGGTCTCGTACCAGCATGCCAGCCATAGGATTGGGTTCAAAGTTAGGTCCAAATAAACCCAAATTTATCACCTAGGAAAGAAAGCCTTTAGTAGTAAGTAACTATATGATAATTTCCTCATCAGCTTGTTACACTATAAACCCTAAACCTTTGAATTATACAGTAAACACCTACTTCAGAGACAGAAAATGGCTATGATTAAATCCTATCTAGCAATATTTTACTCCTCCATCACTTTAGTGGATCAAGGGCTACAGAAACCAAAGAGAATGGGGGAACTAGCAGAAGAGAATGGGTAAGACAACTAAAGAAAGTGAAATAAAGGTCAACCACTTGAACACATGGCCTTGCCACGGCCAGGGACAAAGAATATTTTCAGGCTGGTCTCAACACGAGTGCCACCCCTGGAGCACAGGTTATCTGAGGTTGAGTAATGAATCTCTCATCTCTCTGGCTTATTTAGATTTATAGTTGAAGCAGTTCTATAAATAAAATACGTTTTTTTCTCTCACACTCTTACAGGCATACACCATCACAGCAGCCTCACACCACTCATGATTCATTCACCAGTATAGAATTAACAAGTTTGATCATTTATAATATTGTCCTTTCACTCACACTTACAAAATCCTTGGTAACTGACCACCTCGTATTAGTACTGTATGTTATAAGAATCAGTCTGGTGGTTACAAATCCTTCTAAGAGTAACTTTATTAAAATATTAGGATTCTGATATCCATTTTCTACCATCATAGGTTGTTATCCTTGTACTTCCCACAAGGAAGTAAAGTAACACTCACTCCACAGTAACTCCACAGTAACATGAAGAAATGTACAGTGACAACAAGCTGCTAGTAATACACAAGCCATAAGCACTTTCTCCAATCCTTCCAATAGTTTACCCTAACATTACAAACTGTTTATATAAACAATATTGTCTCACTGTAAAATTCATTGTAAGAAGACAAGTACACTTGATTCAAAAAAGTATATTTACAGAGGGGTCCGATAAATTTCAAAATAAACACTGTGACTCTTGTTGTCAAAATCCTTTGTCCATTGTGTCATATTGTATCACAAAATTTTAAAGATAATTTTGGGAGCAAGTGTATATAGTTATAGGAACATATATGTCAGGGGAATGTGATAATTAAGGTGACAAGTTTTTTTAAAGTAGCAATTATGATTATATATATATATATATATATATATATATATATATATATATATATATATATATCCCACAATGGCAAATGGATAAGATAAATCTTAAATAAATCTGCAGAGAAAATGGAAAGATGTCTTGAATAAAGCAGCTAGGTACTCGTTGTTTCCATTTTCGTGTGATTTTATATATATATATATATATATATATATATATATATATATATATATATATATATATATATATATATATATATATATATATATATATATATATATATATATAGCACGTGGATAAGATAAATCTTGATAAAATCACCACGGAAAATGGAGATATCTTGAATAAAAGCCGAAAGCTAAGAGTACTCCGTTGTTTCCATTTTCATTATTTTATCAATATATATATATATATATATATATATATATATATATATATATATATATATATATATATATATATATATATATATATATATATATATATATATATATATATATATATATATATACATACTGTACATACATACATGCATATATACATACACACACACACAGTCAACCCTCACTTTACGCGGTCCCACATTCCGCGTTTCCACGTTTACGTGGTGCCCTGCCAGAACCCAGGATGCTCACATTCCGCGGTGGGTGTACCCCTTTACACGGGTGAAGTATAATTTTTTTATTTAGCTCATAAAATTCATACAAATTATCCGGCCAGAATATAATTTACATTGCTGGAATTCTTACAATTTGATGATCATTTTGAATATACACATCATAGATTTTGCATTAGACATACAAATTTTAGATATAATGTTTACTCTTGAGTAAATATGTTATCTTTTGTGCAAAATATATGATATTTATATTCAAAATATTCCTGGTCTTACAAGGAATCCAGCAATGTCAATTATATTGTCCTAACTTTAGTCTGATTTATTATTTATTACTAAAAAGGTAAACAGTCTGGTATTCCCACACATTTATCTAGTAGGGACGTTGGGGGGAGGTGGGGGGAGGGAGGGAGGGACCAGTGACCGACCATCTGTTACCATGTGAAGAATATTTTTTTTTTATTAACTGAAGATTTTTATTTTAGCTCATAAAATTCATACAAATTATCCGGCCAGAATATAATTTACATTGCTGGAATTCTTACAATTTGATGATCATTTTGAATATAAACATCATGGATTTTGCATTAGACATACAAATTTTAGATATAATGTTTACTCTTGAGTAAATATGTTATCTTTTGTGCAAAATATATGACATTTATATTCAAAATATTCCTGGTCTTACAAGGAATCCAGCAATGTCAATTATATTATCCTAACTTTAATCTGAGGTATTATTTAATACAAAATGTTAAAATTTATTTTTTTCACCCACTCTTTCTCTTGAAGGGAGGGGGGTGGGGGGGAGGGTTGGGACTGACCGCGCGGTTGGAAGAGGGGGGGAGGCAAGGTGGGGTACTTTGATTGACAGATAGTGTCTTGAAGAATATTTTTTTTTATTATTAACTGAAGATATTTGTTTTAGCTCATAAAATTCATACAAATTACCCGGCCAGAATATAATATACATTGCTGGAATTCTTACAATTTGATGATCATTTTGAATATAAACATCATAGATTTTGCATTAGACATACAAATTTTAGATGTAATGTTTAATCTGAGTAAATATGTTATGTTTTGTGAAAAATATATGACATTTATATTCAAAATATTCCTGGTCTTACAAAGAATCCAGCAATGTCAATTATATTATCCTAACTTTAGTTTGAGGTATTATTTATTACTATACCTGGTTTTCCCCCCAAAATTTCTCAGAGGGAAGAGCCAGCAGTGTAGTGTGAAAAGAGGGGGAGGGAGTCGTGTCCATTATTTGAATGGACATTAACTTGGCGACTGTATTTCTCTATTTCTCTTAAGTATTAATTGTGTGCATGTACCATCATAAAATTAAGATGTTATTTTTACTACAACATAGTTATGTGTCGTCAAAAAGTGGAGTTTGGGGACCGGCCTGGACTCCATTTCAATTAATCCCATATGTTATGTTATTCACTTTACGCGTTTCTCGCTTTCCGCGGTACCCTCCGGGTTACATTAACCGCGTAAAGTGAGGGTTAACTGTATATATATATATAATTGGAAGGATTTGAGTGCTGTGCTTTTGTCTTTGGTTTAATACAACAGTGAACACCAATGCTGCTGTAGGTCTATATTTACAGTACAAAATTATACAGTACACTGAAGTATTTTTGTTTTTCACAGAATTATAGCATGAATTACTTTATGGACAGACCCCTAGAAAAAAAGCACTGAGCACTTTGAAGTCTTAAACATGCTTCATCCCTTGATTAATGTGTACTGTACTGTATTTAGTAGTCTACAGTATAATTGCCTTAACATCACTGCACTAATACTTAAACTTATATTCCTGTTTTCAAATGGTTTATTCATAGAACATCCATAACTTCAACTGTGCTTTTCTAAATACTGTATTATATTATTAAAACAACAGTATCTTTGACAGTTAATTCTAGCTTACCTTGGCTCTGAGCCACAGTTTGTGTCTCCACATGAGTTGATCTCTTGTTATCTGCCAGCCTGCTCGACAAGTAAGTGCCATGGCCCGGGTATCTCGCAGGCTCAGGTGAGAGATCACTTCCAAGCATATTGGGGACTGTTGACATCAAATGGATTTAGTAATGGTTGATGGTTCTACCCAAAATGGGTTAGCCAAGTTAATTGATCCCTGGCTAACACAACCTGGGGTGGTTTGAATACCATGAAGCCCACCAATGTGGGAATGGTATTGCAAGAGCTGCCTGGGTTCAGGGCATATGCCAGATGGATAAATCAGAGAGTAGAGGAAGGTTTAGCAATAAAGACAGAAGTGTAAAATATTCTCGAAACATGAAATTAAGTTTAAATGACTCTAATGCTTTGTTTAAATTGGTTCTAAGAAACAGTACAGTATCAAGATGACCCACCACAAAGGGGAGCGAGATGAACTTTCTTGACACTAGGTTACCATAAGTAAGGGTTGGCCTGTTGGTTTGCATGTACAGTAATGTACTGTATTCCTTGATTTACAAAAGAGATCTGTTCCTGAAAAACTAGTAGTAAATTGATTTTCATATACCAAAAACTTTACATCCAGACTCCCATTTTAAAAGCCAAAATACATTCATAAAAAAATCCTTAAAAAAAAAAAAAAACATTTTTAAGGAAAAGATGGTGTGTATAATAATGATTAAAAGCCAATAAGAAACACTTTTAAATCTAAAATAATTTTCTAGTCCAGTATTACAGTACATATTCATTTTTCATATACTGTATTATATGAGAGTAAATGAGAAATTGGACAGTCAAGCAACTGGCTTAGAACATGGTGGAGACACGTCTACAGTTAGCTGGAATCCCTCAAACCTGGAACTGCTAAAAAATTTATTCCAGTACATCATAAACAATATATGTGTACAGTAATTTGTTCACTTGTATTGCAGCCATGATCACTCACTAAATTAGACCCACGAGGTAGACAGGGGATGTAAGTGACTGGTCTCTCAAGCATATCAGATAATTTCTTTTGAGCACCATTGTACTTTCCAGACATTGTTGCTGCACTATCATAGGTTTGAAACCTAATGGTATGTGTGTCAATTTTACTTTCTGAAACAGCTTTTCATAGTTCACTAATTCACCTTCATATTTCTTTATTTCTTTCTTTATCTTACATCTGGCATAATCAAAACCATTCAAAACACGATCCACTGTGTTACTGCTTGCTCTTGCTACCAGTGTGTGTGTGTGTGTGTATGTAATAATAAGAATAATAATTAATGGTTTATTGAAAAATTTCTGCAGCCCAAAGGCTGAAAATATACATTAGACAGAAATGACTTATTACATACAAAGACATGGGGTGGGTGGGTTGTTCAACAAAAGCTTTCATTACTAAAATGAGAAGAAACATGAATTGGACATACAAATTATTATAGTTTGCAGTTGATGGTCCGGGCTGGTCTCTTGCCATACTGTGTGAGGTCACGTAGGCCACGTGGTGTAGTGACTCGTCCTTAGGTGTTGATATGAAGGACCTCACGGGGTCATAGAGGCACCGGGTGGTGTGGTCTTCACGTGGTGCAGTATCTCAATCGTAGGTGTTAATATGAAGGACCTCACGTGGTCATGGAGACACCGGGCGGTGTGGTGTCACAGTACCTCACTCTCTCTGCTGGGTGGTGTTGCGTTATCCCATAGTCAGGTGTAAAGCCGACCCACTGTTGTTCCCAGGGATTAACACCGCCTAGTTCCCAGGGGTGCTTATCTCTCTGGTGGGTCACGGCTCTCACTGGTACTATCTAGTGCTGTATTCACTGGCTTAAACACTGTTCAACACTGATCCCACTTTTTTCCGAAACGAAATTGTCACTTTTGATTATGTTGATATCCCGGTGGTGAAGATGGGTCAGGGAGAGGGACTTGGGGAATGGGGCCGAACATGGCCAAGGGAGTCTCGACCCTCCGGTGGTTAAGGATGTAGTGTGTGTGTGTGTGTCCTTTCTTGACCATCTCCCTGAATTTTTTAGATCATTGTGACCAACTTCTGGCAACTTTACCAACTCGAGACCAATCATGGGGGGTGCCCCCCCCCCCCAAGTCAGGCCATCCCGGCAAATACTGTACACTGTACAAAGGTTTTTTCTAGTAGTAGATAGTTTCACATTGTTTATAAATACTGTACGGTATAATTATTATCAACTTCCACACAAGATACAATATATTGGTACCGGGGGTATATCTTTTATGATAATTTATATTTACTTTACAGTACAGTTCATCTGACTGTGTGATAATATTCATGGAAAAAAGATCCCTGATGGAAATAAGCTTTAACAGTTTCCCTGGCCTTTATTTGCTTGAAACACCTCCATTAACATCACTTGTATACCTGCATCATCTATGTCGCTACAGTACATGCTGAACCAGTGTGAACTTGTATGATGGTTTTACTGAATAAATATCCATTTATAAGTTATAAAATTTATTTCTTACAGCCTTGTCTTTCATTGTTCCCAAAACGGTGAAGTAAATTAATACAGTACAGTAAACCTTTGTTATTCGCAGGGGTTTGGTTCCAAGGAATGGCATGAATAGGCAAAACTGCGAATAGCAACTTATACTACCTTAGTGCACTGCTGTATACCAACCAGCTGCGACAGCACTCATACCCTCTTTTAACTTGTCTAATAATAAAGCTTTCTTTGTCAGGGTCATCACTGACTTCTGCCTTTTACATTTCACTCCACTAGCACTGACACTAGGCAGTCTTTTAGGGGCCATTTCACAGAGAAACACTAAAATTTTAAGAATACAACACGAGATGCTGCATGGGGTGACTTCTTGTGCTGTGGGAAAAGACTCACAAGCTAGCCACCATCTGCTTACCACGAATCGTTGAAATTGCGAATCGCAAACTCGCGAATGGCAAGGGTCTACTGTACTGTAGTACTCTTTTGGCCTATGTACTAACACCGAGTTGTGATGTTGATGCAGCTCATGACAACAAAATATTACATAACCAGTGGTGAAATAATATGACAGAACATAATTAGAGCCAATAAGACAGAACATACCATAATTAGAGCCAATAAGACAGAACATAATTAGAGCCAGGTATTTAGGATTTAATCCATTAATTCCTGATAACCTACAAGAAATATTTCCTCTAAGAGGCCATGTATCTTATCAGTGACACAATATCAATATCCAAGGTCAACTGCAAGTAACTACATCTTATATGATACATACTGTACATATATTTTAGCAAAATAATCATACATGTTTATACCCTGTACTAGATCAGCAGGTACCAGTACAGCTATCTAAACAATAGTAAATAGTTAATGGTAGTTCAATCAACCAAAAACAGTCCAAGAAAGCCATTAAAAGGTAATTTTATTGAGAGTTTTGACAATATTTAAACAGGGAACATTACAGAAGATACCTGAAATATCTAACATTTCAATGTTGTTATAAGCCAGACATGACTCTGGTTATCCAGATTGTCACCCCCCCTCCCCTCCCCTCGTGTCATACAAACAAACAATAGGTACTGGTATTTACCGGTCCGACTAATTACCCAAATGTAGCCGCAATGAAGTCAAATAATGGTCCTACATGAATAAATCGGACTGCCAATCACTTCTCGACTAGTATTTGGTGTCACTAAGTCACAAAAAATTGGAAAACTTACTTTAATCTGAGTTAATAGATCGCGTGCATGTACCGAGGGAGCGAGTAATTACCCAAATATAGCCGCAATGAAGTCAAATAATGGTCCTACATGAATAAATCGGGCTGTGAATCACTTCTCGATTATTATTTGGTGTCATAGTCACAAAAATTGGTAAACTTAATTTAATCTGAGTTGTGTTAGGTTAGGTACAGGCACTCGATCTATTAACTCAGATTAAATTAAATTTACCAATTTTTTGTGACTTCGTGACACCAAATACTCGTCGAGAAGTGGTTGGCAGTCTGATTTATTCATGTAGGACCATTATTTGACTTCATTTGGGTACATTTGGGTAATTAGTCGGACCCGTATTTACTGGTACAGTGATGGCGTATGATCTTCTGCCTATTCAAAGGCATCACACTCAATACAAATGTGCCACATAAGAGAAACAAAATGGTTTTGCTTCTACTAACAATTACTGTGCAGGTACAGAACACGTTTTACTTCTCATGTATCATGTTTTGACTGTGATCTCATTTTGCAAAGACTAGTCAAACTACCAGTGGTTCTGTTGTTTATTTACTGGGTGACTACAAATGATCTTAAGGATTTTAAACATTTATTATGAACAAACTAACATACTGTATCTACATTGAAGGGCAAGATATACAGTACAGTACTTCATTTGGTGAAGAGGATAAAAGTAACAGACGTGACCGATCGCCCAAGCGCTAACAAGCCGATCAGTGGTGAAGAGGATAAAAGTAAAAGTAAACTAATTAAGATTTTGGTTAATATTTAGAAGTTGCCAGCACCTAATTGACTTTTGAAAGTAGTTTTTTTACAGAGTAAATCATCGTGTTAGATACAAATATAACCTCCATTGCTGTCAGAAACACCAGTGAACAGCTAGGAGTCAGTACATCGCTTCCGCTCAGAGTGTAAAGAATAAAACTAGCTTAACAACTGAAGAAAATTGTTGTGCAAGTACTGTGGAATTGTTGTGATTAATATGAAGTGAAAAGACTAGGGAATTGTATACAACTAGTGTGCTGACGAAATATTCCAGTGTGGAGTCAAGATGTGAAGATGTTACCCTGTTAACAGTGTTGTGAATAATTAGTGATCATTCCAGCAGACTACAGTGCTCAAGTGTGTTTCTGTGACCTGGTGGAAATCTACCTGCCTGTTGTCTGTACTGTACACTGATACCAATCGTCGGGACTGGCTGGGTAATTCGACAACACTTATGAGATATCTAACGTTTTTGTACATATGACCCTAGTCGCTGGTAACCTGTGAAAGGGAGGAGAGGCTCTTAACAATACATTCCTGTCATAAATATTAACTCACTGGTAGGTCGAAAAAACTGAATGAGTTTTCTTCTCTAGGTTTCTTCTCTATCTGTGTATAGTAGTCGTCCTCAGATATAATGTCTACACTGGAAGCTCTCTTGTACACGACGACGGACCTCATCCTTGGCATACACACACAGAATATTGTTAATGGTTGAGGCGTTGTGACGTTATTACACCACTACAACCCTCTCCTGAACACCGAAAACACAGTGAAGTGACTAATAAACTTTAATGAGATGTAGTGAATAAATAATATCGTTTTTTTTGTTTAAATTGTACACTTCTTACTCGTGGACATTATTCAGAGTTTTATATTAAAGTTTAGTATTTCAGCTATAAACATAAAGATAGAAAAGCTAATTAGTTGTAACATAATAATCTGGAATTAATTTTGTGCTGAATATTGCTTCTATTCCAGTTTATGGAACGAAAATATTGAACTTTTATATGAAATGTCAAATTATGTGCACAATTATAAGTTTATCCTTAAATTATGAGCAGTGGTTTTAATTGAAGACTTATTGTTTTAGATTAGTTGGTTTTATTAGTTTTCGTGTTTCAGGTCCCCATACGTCAGGGAGGCCACGTTTACAACGCTCATATTTTTGTTATCTTCTTTATTTTATTATTTGTAGCTGTCAAGTTAATTAATTTTTTTGCTAATGTATATGAAACAGGTACTTAATACGGATTTTATTATAAAATAAACGATATTAAAGGCATAGTGAATGTAAGCATTTGTCATTGAAAATTGTAAAAATGCCTTCGTGTTGAATGAAGAAACGAAATATCTATGAGAAATATAATACAATGTAAATCCACTTTTGAACTTTAATATCACAAGAGGCCTTGAAGTAATATAAGTTGAATTGAACAGCTGATGAAATCAATAAATATGTTGATGAATTTGAAGGGTGAGGTTTTCCCGCTGGGTGTTGGTGACGTCACAGCCGAGCCTTGTGGGTCTAGTCCTTCTCGTCCCGCCACGACATGGTGAGTGTTGTGCCGCCCTCACCCTGAGTAAATTGTGTGTTAAAAGCCTCACCTTGGACTTAGTTCTGAGGATTTACGTCAACACACAACAGAATTTATGGTATACAATTGATAGAAGTTGAGATATAGTAGTTTTAGTTTGAAGTAAAACCAAGATCTAGAGTGTAAAGTGACGAACGTGGTGTTGTTATGGGTCACATGGCCAACCGTGTGTACCGTGCAGGCTGCCCTGGGCACAACTCTAGTCTTTTCAGTGTTATTTAGGTTTTGATAGTTGAGCCAGGTATCTCAGGATGTGAATCTCCTCTTGGGTTATCGGTTCATGTGAAAAAAAATATTGGATTAGTACAGGGTAATACTATTTCTGTTGGTCGCCAACACCGGAGGTGTGTATGAGGAAGCTTGTACCTTAGGAGGTGAAGAAGACTGTTGCTTTGTTTCTTGATTTGAGTTAAGGATGTTCCCTCCGGGGAGGGGACCACACCACTGCTTTATATATATATATATATATATATATATATATATATATATATATATATATATATATATATATATATATATATATATATATTAGATAATTTTCATGTGAAGGAGCTGACCTTAGCATCTTGGAATCAATAATGCGTTGTTCTATGGAGTTTTCACAATATTTTTGTTTAAAATACATAGAAATCACATATGACTGGAGAGCAAGGAAATTATACCTATGAAAATACTGCAGTCTTAGTCTTTAACACAGGTAAAATCACAAATTCCATAGTTTACACAATTGGCAAGTCTGGGAACTTCCTGAATTATCAGACATTGCTACATGGTGTTCCTTTATAAAATCGATTTAATTAAGCTACTTAAACTTAAGCTTCATCTAAACATGATTTCGACTAGGCAGGTTGGGTTTATTTTATAAATAATGGGGAATTTTTGACTGGTCTGCGGCCGAATTTTCATAGAAAATGAATTTAAATTGTAGTGCATATTTTGCCGTGATCAGCTAAGTTCCTACTAACACTTTTTTTTACCGTAAGTGCTCCGATTGGTTAATTGTCCAATACAGGTAAACAACTCGAGAACAGTGTGACTTGACTGGTGGTACTTGTCATTTATTGTGCCGTGAGTCGATAGTTTGTAGCTATAAATGGGGTGTGCCCATTTCGTCACCCCATTTTTTATCAATTTCGTCACCTTTTCAAGGGCAATACATTCCAGAAAATAATTACATAATTAATGCATCAATATATACACGAAAATTAAATTTGTCAAAATATCTGTTGCTTGGGATAGAAAATAATCAAAACACCTAGTTTACAAAATTTTATTGCGAAATCTTGCCTCGGCATAACAATACGTTAGATCATGCAAAAATCTCGCTAAGTTCCATTTAAGGTTGAGCTATTCTTAATTAACATATTAGTAATGGTTGAGTCATACTTAAGAACATTAATGTTTAATAACTTTCTATTAACACTTCCGTTGCAAATGGATAATAACAAGATGGTAAATTCACGTAGGAAATTAATGTAAATATGCAGTCTCCGGGTGTCGTCTGTTTGCTTACAACATAAAAACGTAAGAATGGAGGAAACTGCAGTGGGCCTATTGGCCCATACTGGGCAGTCCCATTTACACCCAACCCCAATTGCTCATATATCCATCCAACCTATGTTTGAAGCTATCCAGCGTATTCGAGTTAATGATGATATTTGGTAACTTGTTCCACTCGTCCACTACTCTATTTCAAAACCAATGTTTACATATTTCGCGCCTAAATCTAAATTTGTCTAATTTAAAATAATTGTTGCGAGTTCGCTCCATGGGTTAAGTTTGATTTAGTTTTGATCTTGTGTAGGGGTGTGTTTGTATGTGTATTTAAGCATTTATGCGAGTTGTATGCGCATATGTATGTGAGTTGTACGTGTGTATGTATGTGTGTGTTAAAACTTCCGGCCGGAACACCAGCAGTGACTCCAACACACCCGGAAGTTCTCATGGTCCTCCAACTTTCGTGATAAAGATACACAGTGTCTGAATACTATTACCAGCTTTATAAGTTAGCTCTAAAGTTACGTACTGGGATGTGTTTTACTCATCCAAAAATCGAAGCATAATAGAAACTTCACAGCAACACGACTGAAATACACACACACACACACACACACACACACACACACACACACACACACACACACACACACACACACACACACACAAAACACTCCACATACTGGCAACTTCACATAAAAAGTATCACATTCATACATCATACTGTATAATATATGTTGTGTACTGTATATATAAACAGTAGTTTGTAATGAACAGAATTAAACGAAGTCAATTTTCATGCTAGTTAAAAAGATTCACTGTAGTCATGTGGCCTTATGTCAATATGGGCTCTGTGTCGTTTGGCCGTAGAGGTGATTATTGGCTACCAGAGATCTGATTGGACAGCTGCAGGGTTCATTACAGTTTTCATTGGTTCATTCGACACGCTCTAATTATGTGGTATTAGTGTATTGTTTCTAACACCGTTGTTATTACAATTACTGCCACAAGTATCACTTCTAGATCATTACTACTACTACTTTTGCTACCACTCTTGGTAATACCATTAGTACTACCAGCATTACTACTTGCAAGACTACTGATATCAATATCATCATTTCTTCTGTTACTATCAACACAACTACGTGCTTCACTAGAACCACCACAACTATTACAACTACCACTGTCATAATTATAACCACCACTACCATCAGCGCTGTTATCACCAACGATACCACACTACCATCAAGGGACCATATCTAGTCCACCTGCAAAAATCTGATAATCAATATAGTTATTACCATGACAACACACACAAACACACACACGTTAATCGAATCACAACCGTCTTGAAGCCAAACAGATTACTGGTGATGCTGCTTCCGTCCCAGATTGTGGAGGGTGGGATACAGACAAAATCCCCACCCCTACCGGACAAAAACCCCGCATAGTAAAAAATAAAACAGAATGTTTAAATTTTTCAATAATTGTCTTAAAATCCACTTTGATATTAGATCTTACCATAACTGTCCTCACTTTTTGAGACCTCGGGGGACCCGTTACCCCACAATCTCTGGTCTCTCGGGTCTGTTTAATGACGTGTGGTACCATGAGGCGAACTGTATAAAAACCTTGTTCACTTTTGCACTACCGGTAATTCAGTTTTCCTTAAGCAGTCTTTGAATACAGTCGGTAGCTAGGTAGCTTGTTTCTATTCTTCATACAAATTTCATTTAACGTTAGGTCAGGTACGAGTGTACTCTCACGTCCACCCTCTCCTTAACATTAACCATCATACCTCTACCATTTGTTATAACTACCCCTGTACTTGTCATTATCATCTTATCCAAATTTTATCTTTCATGTTCACAGACGAAGGGTACCTCATCCTTCGGAAAGCGGCACAACAAGACACACACGTTGTGTCGCCGTTGTGGCCGTTCGTCATACCACATCCAAAAGAAAAAGTGTGCCCAATGTGGGTACCCAAGGAAGAAGACCAGGCGTTGTAAGTATAATTCTTGAGGATCCTTTTGGAGTAGTACTGTAGAGTAACAATTTGACTTCTAAAGATGTCATTTGGGGACATACATATGTCATAGTTTCTACATTCGGGAATGTATGATTTTGAACATAAATTGGGGGATAGTTTTGGAGGTTAATGGTAACTGGGGTAACCTTACTAAGACTGCAAGACTCCTCTGTTAATCAGGTTATTGCCATTGAATTGTATCCTGCTGCCACATATAGCACACTACTGGGTTAGTTCTAATACAAGGATATTTCAGCTTTATATTGAAATATTGTATGTGGACAGTGTGTATATATTGTACAGTACTGGTATCTGTATAGGGAATCCTGCTGTGAAATGTGATAAGTTATGGTTAAAGGATTTCCATCATCAGAGATGGGAAATCATTACAGTACAGGTAGTGTAGGTATACATAGACTTACAGGTACTGTATTCAGCATTGTACTGTTCACTCGGTTAAAAAAGTATCTTTCAGGAGTAGTTTGATGAATTTTTACCTGAACAATCCTGTTGTCTTTCTAGGGTTGGCAAGTGTGATTGTGAGAGATTTCCTACCTATTATGGGAGGCCTAATTTAGCTATTTTATTTGAAAAAAATTTCATTGCGGTATGAGTAGTGATAACAGTAGGCCTCATGGGCTTTTATCAAAAACCTTCGTTTGTGGTGTCATTTTGTTTCGCACATGAACTGTAAAGATAGTTTTTAAAATTTTTTTTACTGAGTGTACTGTACATAGGCAGAGCAAAATATGTACAAACTGTTAAATAGCAAGTCAGTTTGATCAGGATAGCCAACAAAACCATCACATGCTTATTTCCAGTATGGTCCTTTGTTTAGGCTGGGGAGCTTAACAGTAACAATAAATCCACACAAAATTGTGAATTTGTGGTTATTTATTGCACAACATTGCACTTGACTATTCAAGACTAGTTGATCACTGTAGCAATGCTACTTTGGTGGTTAATATAATACTTTAATACAAAAAAATCACTTCTCTTTTTGTAGTTTCATTTGCTTTTTAATCTGAATTCTTTGATTCTAGTCAGGGTGTCTACTGGTCTGGAAAACCTGGAAAGGGCAGGGAATTTTATAAATAAACCTGGAATTTTATATGAATTCAATTCAACTTCAAAATAGTTATTTTGACAGCAATCTTACCATAATTTAATGATGTACTATGTAATAGGTAAATAGTTAAACCTTAGAACAAATTCCAGTAAATAATCCACACCAATAACTGAATTGTTTGTGTATGTTTGTGGTCAAATAACCAAATATTACAGGTTATACCTACTAATTCTGCAATGAGTATTGTCAGGGATGAGTTGTTCTTATTATTTAAGAGACTATTTAAGTGGATTATACCACATATTTATCACGAGTCATATAGGTGGATCAGGATTTTTTTTCCCCGGATTTCCGACTTTCTTGGAACATCCAGTTCGACCCATTTGAATTACACAAATCCGGGGAGAAAAATATGGTGGGGTCAAGGTCTTTGCCAATGTTTATCACTAGGCCTAATGATCATCCTGATCATAGCTGGTTAAATAAAATTATCAGTCCAGTAGCCAGTGGCAAAAAAATTGATGGGCAAATGACCTACACATTGAGACGGCAAATGACCTACAATATTGAGACCCGACAGAGAATTAGGGGTCATAAATTTTTTGATTAATATCGTATACAGATTATATCATCTTTAAATTTCCCAATAGTATTGTATGTATATATATATTGAAAACCTCTAGTTCTGTTATTCTTTCGTAATAAATACCGAATTAATGTTCCTGGAATTTTTTTAATTTGCACCTGGAAAAGCCAGGTAATTTTTTGTCTTGCCAGTAGACACCCTGCTAGTACAGTATGGGGTTTAGTATGGCTTGGCATTTATTTTCAGGCCTTTGTGGCCATAAAGGAGAAAGTATTTTGTGCTTCACTATAAACCAGTACAGTGATTGTACACATGGTACAGTACAGCATTGTAAAATTGTGTTCAATTCCCCAATTGTATATATGTTTGATGAAACCACTTTCACAACTAAAATTGTTATGTTTCACTTCTAAAGACTTATCTGGTAGCAGTGGTTGTTGCCTAGTAATGGTATCATTGGCTAGGTGTGTTGCTTTTAAGCTGATGGTATCCTATTGGTTATCACCTGAGACTGGCATCTTTCTGTAATAGGCAGAGTTCTTATACATTAATGTTAAAGATGCAGTACTGTAATTCTATTGGATGGTGGTGAGAGTTTCCATGGTTAACCCCCAATGCTACATGATGCAGAATATATTAGCATAACACAGTAAAAAAAAAGTCAGGATTGGATTGCTGGAAGTAGCAGTTTGCATGATCAACAGGAGAGCTTGGCATTTAGTGCTTTTTGTGTGTAGGTATGGAAAAATGATGGGAAGGTACAAAACAAAAATTAAATATATACAATATAGTAATAGCATGCCTTTGTGCATATTATAACTAACTATAGCTCATTTTTTTCCCAGCTGAAAAAAGATGCCTCGCCCCCTCAAAATTTACAGCCGATTGGATGTGTCAAACCTGTCCGATTTTGTCCTGAAGTACTGTAATGATATATTTCTAAATTAATTTATTCATAATCGTTGGGATGACCGTTTCTGGCAAAAGATATTTAGCTAAATTATATAAAGATACTTACATTCATTATTTCAAACATAAGCACGTAGGAAGTTTATCAGAAGTATTATACATGAATTAACTGTTAAACTCTGGTAGCAAATTTACGCTTTCGGAGGATGCATTTAATATATACTTATTTTTGCCCACAATAAGGCATACTAAGACAAATTACGGATCAGTAATACAACATTATGCAAAAACAACATTTTTAAAGATCAGAATCGCATTGAAATATTACACGAACGTCAGCAGAAGCGGGAAAAATATGACTGCGAACAACTTCATATTTTTCCCGCCTCTGCTAACGGTTGTGTAATATTTCAATGTGATTCTGATCTTTAAAAATGTTGTTTTTGCATAATGTAGTACAGTGACCCCTCGGTTAACGAACTCAATCCGTTCCAGAAGGTCGTTCGTTAACCGAAAAGTTCGTTAACCGAAACCATTGTTTCAATGGGTTTTTGGGTAATTGGTTCCAGCTCACCGAAAATTTCCTAAATTCAAAAAAAATGGTAGAAAAGTTCACTTACTTTGAGGTGTGTATGTAGAAGGCTCCTGGATGATGATGATGGGAATTACAATGGGGGTGGAAGAGAAGGCATTGGGGTGGAAGAGAAGTCACCCCATGGCACCATTTCACCCATAAAATTTTAGTTCTCTTGGTGAATTTCAAGATTATTTTCTTTAAATCAACACTGTACTGCATTATATATTGTCAATATGTAAAATATATTTCAAAATGACCAATAATTTGCTTGGAAACACAGAAAAAAAGCGTTTAGTTGAAGAGAGTCTCAAGCAAGATGTTACCTCCAGTGAAAACAGAGAGACTAACGCCTGTTTGCTGTGTTAAGAGGCTGGATGCTGCGCTTTAAACTAGTCACTTTACCTTCAATTATATTCAATAATTGTTAAAATGACTAAAAATTTAATATTAAACTTTTAAAATTATTGAATAGTATAAACTTCTTGATATTTACTAAAATAGTTAGGAATTTAAGCCCTAGAACCGATTAATGTATTGGCGGACTGATACTAAAGCTGGTTGCCCGGCCAGTGCAAGCGAAAACATGTTGAGGTCGGTTCGTAAGAAATTCGTTAACCGAATTGAAGATCCTTATGGAAGGCAGTTCGTTAACCGAGGCGTTTGTTAAACGAGGGGTCACTGTATTACTGATCCGTAATTTGTCTTAGTATGCCTTATTGTGGGCAAAAATAAGTACCGTATACTGTACCTGTATATTAAATGCATTCTCCGAAAGCGTAAATTTGCTACCGGAGTTTAACAGTTAATTCATGTATAATACTTCTGATAAACTTCCTACGTGCTTGTGTTTGAAATAATGAATGTATGTATCTTTATATAATTTAGCTAAATATCTTTTGTCAGAAACGGTCATCCCAACGATTATGAATAAACTCGTTTAGAAAGACATCATTGCTTCAGGACAAAATCGGACAGGTTTGCTGTAACTCTTGGGGAGGGGACGGGGCATGTTTTTCAGCTGAGAAAAAACACACTATAGTACAGTTCAAGGATAAGTGAAGGAGAGACTGAACCTGAATATTGAGTAATACTAGCCAGCGGGAGCTTATAAGTCACGAAATAATTATAACACATTAAAGAGTGTGGTTAGAATGTTGAGTAGAGGTGTAATAATTTAATAAGTAAATGTTCCAGTGTGTGGATGCCACTGGTCGTGGCTGAGGATGCAGTGTACAGTACTGTACTGAACTTTAAAAGAATGTGGAATGACACTTGTAAGAAGAGGAAACTGGAAGTTCAGCGAAGATGGTGTTGCTTCTGGGAGTAGAAGGTTGAAGTGTAGATTAACCACTTGTGTATGGGGTCCCTTCTGAGCTGAATGAAAGCATAAGGCGTTAACCAAATAAAATATTAAAATGGCATCACCATAGTGAAGGGTAAAGAGTTAGATGGTAAGAAGTTTGAGAGTTTCAAATGTCATGGAGAACTAATGAAGGGAATAGCTAATGCTTGAGCCTTTAAGAAACTGGAATATTAGATGTGTAGTTTGGTTCTACACTCTGATGAATTTGAGTGAAATGTGGGCTTTCACCTTATTCACAGTTGATCTGCCGCAACACAAAACTTAAATGCTTGAGGAAACTTAATTGTTTCGTAATATGTACTATCCTCTTCGTCACTGAGTGTACTCAAGATTCAGAAAATTTTATTTACTTTTAAAATATGTTTGTTAGTTTAAAAATCATTGGAGGATGTTTTAAAATTCTGACACAACAGTCAGGTCTTCATTCATGTGTTAGCTTTTAGAACCTTTTAATTTTCTTGAGTGCTGCTTGTAAAGTAGAAGAAAAAAATTACTGACTTTTTCCAAAGAAAATTTGTTGACACTGCAACATCACATTAATTTCCTTATTGCTACACACTGAAGTCCACTCTCAGTGCAACATGTTTGAAAAGGTCCAGTTTTATAGAGAGCTTTTTGTTTTCAGTTTTACAGCGCAGTACAGTAATAAAAAAACATACCAACTTGAAACTAAACATTTCCTATTTATGGATTTTTATTCTTCTATCTACCTGGCATAGTGGTCTTCAGAAGTAACCGGTCGAGTCTTAGCAATGTCTCTGTATGTTGGGTGGCTCCCCTAACAGACAGACTTGACTTGGTTTTAATGTTTAATGCAGCCAGAGAACATTTATTGTAATTTGTAATTGTTAAAATTTTTTGCCATTGTAAAATGCTATATGATTCATTAATATATATATATATATATATATATATATATATATATATATATATATATATATATATATATATATATATATATATATATATATATATATATATATATATATTATTTATTTATACTAGAAATCATTGATATGTTAATCAAAATGATTTTTTTTTTAACTTGAGTGGTGTCACTTGCTTGACTGTGTGTGCATGTTGGGTTGATGTGAATCTTCAATTTGAATTACTTTTTATCAATCTTAGTAGAGATATTAATAAGATTCTTTTTTCCTTAGATAACTGGTCGGTGAAAGCTATTCGCAGGAAGACCACTGGTACTGGTCGCATGCGTCACCTTAAAATTGTGCACAGAAGATTCAGGTGCGTTGTGAAAATTTATTAACAGTTTAATTATATATATATATATATATATATATATATATATATATATATATATATATATATATATATATATATATATATATATATATATATATATATATATATATATCATGTAAATCCACAATGAAAACGTGGATAAGATAAATCTTGATAAAATCACACGGGAAAATGGAAACAACGGAGCACCTTAGCTTTCGTCTTTATTCAAGACATCTTGAGAGGCAACTGGATTACATGGACAGAGAGAGGCTTAAATATACAGGGTGACCTTAAAAACATGAGGTCAGGTCATAATGATATCCACTAATCCCCACACCAACACAACACGTAGAGGAGCTTAAGAGAAGGGGGGTGATGTGACTAGTCAGGTCAGGTCAAAAATAAGGGACCCACTAAATAACTATCATACATCTAGATCAAAGGTTTTCAAAGCATTTTTAACCTTGGGCCACTGACAAATAAATTTATGTAACGTATCAGTTTTGAACTGACCATCACTAAGGTTTATTGATTTTAATTCCTTAATCAAACTAGCTTCAACCAGAAGTCTTTCTGTGACACAAGATGATTTAAATACTTCTAAGCTTTTTCCCAAGCAATGGGGTGATTATTATTCCTAACATGAACGAACAAGGCACTGCTTTCAGATGCTGTTCTGATATTATACTTATGTTGTTTGATTCTGAGCTGCAGTGTTTTTCCTGTCTGTCCTTCATAATTACAATTACATTTGCTACATGGAATACAATAAACACTTCCATTTACATTCAAACTTGGGCTATTCCTTATTAACATATTGGTAATGGTTGAGTCATATTTGAAAACAACATTAATATTTAGAAGCTTGAGGGACCGAACTAACGGGACAAATTCATTACGATACGGCAGAGTCAAAATATTATTTTTGACCTGACCTGACTAGTCACGTCACCCCCTTCTCTTAAGCTCCTCTATGTGTGTGTTGGTGTGGGGATTAGTGGATTACATCATTATGACCTGGCCTCATGTTTTTAAGGTCACCCTGTATATTTAAGCCTCTCTCTGTCCATGTAATTCAGTTGCCTCTGAAGATGTCTTGAATAAAGACGAAAGCTAAGGTGCTCCGTTGTTTCCATTTTCCTTTGCGATTTTATCTATATATATATATATATATATATATATATATATATATATATATATATATATACTGTATTAATTTCTTTATTATCGGTATTAATAAAATGATTGTTGTTATTAATTAAGGTCTCGTTGTTACAGGAATGGTTTCCGTGAAGGCACCAAGGCAAGGCCCAAGAAAGCTTCTGCTCAGTAATTGTAAACCTGAATAAAGAAAAAATATTATCTTCCCCTTTTATTAACCCATTAGTTTTAGTCATGACAATAAAAAGTATGAATGATGATGCACCTGGATCAAGAATTAAGCATTTACTACTGAACCCCCTTTTCATAAGCACAAGTGTAAGTTTATATAAATAGCCCTTAGTTGTCTTAAAAATGGCTGATGGGGGCTACCTTTTATTCTATGTCAGGCAACAATTTTATAACTGTCTTTTATGAAAATATCGAGAATATTAATTTTAGGGGTAGTGGGATGATACAAGTTAAAAGTGTTTGAGTGAGCCATATGAGCGCCCGTTTTCTGTGAGGGTCGATGAGAGAAAACGTGGGAATCGATTGTTTTGATTAGATGCTGATAGATGGCAGCAGTAATGATCACGAATACTGGCTGTGTTTATCCCAAGATGTCAACCTCCATTATGGACTAATAACCAGCTGCACAAGGTCAGTTATCGAACATGAAGACCGATCTCCTGCAACACGAGGTGTGGCGGGTGTTGGTGAGTGTGATAAGAGTGTAGGTGTGAGTGTTGCGGCGGGTGTTGCTTGTGGTGTTTGTTTATCTTTGTGGGTTTTTGTTAGTCGGGGCTGTGACAAGGTAGCGGCTCCCTGATGCTCGCTCGGCCCGTCGGTCCACTCCACCTCACGTTATAATTCACATTTACAGAATTTATTGCATATATTCTCTTATCTCGGACACAAAGGCAAGCCCGTAACAATGAATTGAGTTTATATAACGGAACTAGTGATAAATGTTAAAGTAAAGCGTTGTTAGAGACGCTTAGCTGTGCTTTGTATGTTCTGTGGAGTGACGGACGGAGCTATCAGGACGTACAGTATGTGTAATATAAATAATTCTTCACTATGACTCCTTGGCCAGCTGGGAAGTAGAGTGAGTTACACCTTATGTTCTTACACACGTATTTGTGATGTTAACCTTTGTTGTGTTTAATATATTCAGTTGCAAGTGTAGACTTGTCATCCTATATCTTCGTTGTTGGGATGGATATTGATATATTAACTTAGCTCTGTGTAAGAGGTGGTATTGCTGAATTACATCATTAATTTTAAATGACCAGGACAAGTAGTGCTCAACCACTGGTTGGTATTTAAGAACCACTTATGTGAATCACAGCATGGGAATCATTGTACAGTAGCTACTTTATACCTACCCAGTAAACCTTTACCAATACTTGTGAATCCGAATCTATGATGAAACATTCCATAGCATTAATTGAGAATTTTGAGTGTTCTGTAGTATTTGGTGTATTGATGTATTGCATAGAATAGAAATCTATACCGTACATCCTGTATTAGTACTGTATGGTATAGAGGTTCTGAAAACTATTTGATAAGGTACACAGACTGGGAAAGCCATATTAAACATGATACATATTATTAGGATGCATAATCTTTATTGTATAAGTGCAATAATTTGGGACCACAAGACTTCCATAAAATAGTTGGTGCTACTATAGCGTGGAGTCTACAAATATATCTTTAGTCTGACCTGACCTAACCAAAGGTAACTTAACCTCAATATTTTATAGACCGCATGCTATAGTAGCACCAAATGGTTAACATCAAGAACATGCCCGAGGAAGGCATGTAATTAACCATAGTACTTGTCAGTACAGTAGTTGAACACCAACTTTCTTCATTATTCTCTAACGTTCTCAATGTTAAGGCAACAAATAAGCAACTTGCTCCTCCAACTCATTAAAGACATGTTGACTCATCACTCTCCCCACACAGTCACTGAGTCAGTTTGCCTGATTTGTCCAAATGTATTTACTCTCTTGTAATATACTGTGTTATATTCTTATATTTTGTATTTAGAATGCTCAGATCTTCCATAAAGTAGATTTTGGGTTAAAAATCTATTTTAGCTTTTGCATAGAGATAAAAATTGGTGATTTTTAACCGTGTTTAGATATTTTATAGTGGAGGGGGAAAATAATTGATGCATTGAGAAATACAGTACAGTATAAGAAGAAATATTATAGCAATAATAAGGATAAAAGAGGTATTGTTGAGCCAACATTATCACATGAGTGTGATGCATGAACTGGGGTTTGAAATGGAAGTAAAAAGACAAATGATGAGTTTAAGAACAATGTTTTAGGTGTTACAGTAATGACAATTTGTAAATAAAGAGGAATTGTGAGAGTGGACAATAAAAGTTTGTAACAAAGAACAGACTGAATGGCAAGTAAACTGACGAGTGGTAGAAATGATATGGAAATGCTGGACAGAACAGATACAGTACCTGTACTGATTTCTTTAGAGATGCGTGGTTAGAGATACAGGGGAAGGTTAAAGAAATGGAAGGACATTAGGAGTGAAGGGTTGGATATACTGCACAACCATAAGGAATGTGCTTGAATATGAATATCCAAGGGGGGGGGGGGGTATAGCAGTAAGTGATTTTTAGAGATAGGCATGCAGATTATGGGAGGTGCTGTGTTTTGTGAAGTAACACGGGTAAACCAGATAGATGTTTGTTGCCTTGTGGAATAGGAATGCCATAGCAGAACATGTCCTTTACAGCACAGTAAGGATGAGTGAATGTCAATAGATGATAGAGAAGTCTGTATTTGTTCTTGACTTCAACTGCATTAAGGAGGGGAATGGCAAAATAAAAGACCCATTTTACCTTTTTTTTATATAGAAGGATAAGGGGTGCAAGACAAAATTATTTTTTTGATAAAGATTGGTAGGAAAATATTTATTAGTTGATGAACAGACAAGGAAATTAGATGGACTTTTTGTTAAAACATAAGGAAATAAACAATGATTAATGAAATAGGTTCATGTAATGTATGGAACAGCATAACTTGCAATAGTGAAGTTAGAGGCAGCATAACTTTGGGTTGAAAGTGATAATGGAGTCACTATATTACTATATACATCCAGTCAGTCAGTTGCTGTGTGGTAGACCGAGAGTTCCATCTCTCATGATTTTTAAAATGTTGCTTGGATAGTATACTGTACTGACCTTGTTATGTGCTTAAAGACCTTCATTGTTGAAGTGCAATAATAACATTACAGTATATCAACAACAAATGCTGTGTGTATCCATGAAGAAATGGAAATTGAGTCGCCCATGGAAACTACTTTTACTTTTATCCTCTTTGCCACTGATCGGCACATTGGCCGCTTGGGCAGTCAGTCACTTCTGTTAAGCACTGTTGACAAGTACTGGGCATGCACTGGCTCTTGAATGTATCTGAATCTGCTCCAGTGTTAAGAACATAAGAATGGAGGAAACTGCAGCGGGCCTATTGGCCCATACTGGGCAGTCCCATTTACACCCAACCCCTATTGCTCATATAAGCATCCAACCTATGTTTGAAGCTATCCAGTGTATTCGAGTTAATGATGATATTTGGTAACTTGTTCCATTCATCCACTACTCTGTTTCCTCAAGTCTGGTCTTGAAAGAGCTCACACTCGGTGCTGTCACAACACACACTGGCAGATTGTTCCAAGGGTTCACCATTCTCACTACAGTACGTACAGCGAGTTCTGCTATAACGCGTGTTTTGATAACGCGAATTTGCTCTAACGCGATTTATGAATTCGGAACAATATTTGTATAACGCGATCGCTTGTTTGCTATAACGCGATTTTTGCTTACTATTTCTCCAATTTGTGGTATTAACTGTGAATATGGTAAAGAAGAATATCTCCAAAAAGCATTCTGATGATAGAATTCCCGGTGATTATCGTAAAAGAAAGGATATAACACTTGAAGAGAAGCTTGATGTTATCGACCTCAAAATCACCCTTCTCCCCCATCAAGTTACATTCATATTTTTTCAAGGTAAAGTGTTAAATTTACTGTATGAATTATTAGATATGAATGTAACATTTATTTAGACTGTGCTATCCTTTGTGTTAGGCTAACTACTAAATTTTTTCGATTTCGAGTAAACTGCACCTAACCCTATTTTCTCCATAAGCCCTGTTAATTAGTTAAACACTAGTAACAGAACTTGTACTGTAGTTGTTATAAGTTCAATTTTTTTATTTTTCTCAAAGCATGTTTTATCTATCCAGTAGCTATGTACAATACAGTGTTGTAAAAATGATAGGACTGAATATGTTCAAACTACAGTAATTAGTTAAAACTAGTAACAGAATTATTACAGTATGTACTGTACAGTACAGTATACTGTAGGGTAATCCAGAGTCCTCTACAATAAATACCAATCTACTGTGCTCCTGTTCATACCTTTGTACTTTAATATTGTACTTCAGTTTTCATCCTGTTGTGCTTGTTTAAGCAAATTTCATCCATTCCATACTTATTTTGTTACGGTAATCAAGTAAAAGAGAAATGTTTCAGGTGTATGCATGTCAAATGATTAAAAATCTTAACAAAATCATTAAACTCCTGTACTACAGACTAAGAATAGTCAGCACCTGAAGTGTTTGGGGAGTCCTAACATATTATTATTATTTTTTAAATCAGTAGAGGTGCAGGTGAATATACACAGGCATGTATTTAAGTATAAGTACATAAACAAGTACATGTACTGTACAGTACAGTACAGATAAAGAGATTTAAAAATTATTACAATACACAAGATAAATGTATGTTATCTCTTCATCGTGTACAAACAGAAAATAAAGGCATAAGGACTGAGGTATCAGAGATGTATAGGAGAATATATTTATGGGATTTGTAGGTTTGTAAGCGGTGTTATAAAAGGCAACACCCTGTACTACTGTAATACTAATAATAGCTGGTCTTTTGTTTCTTTTCTTCGGTGTTCACAAGAGAGGATACGATTAACCTTCCTTTGTTTGAGGACAGACGGTTCGACACAGCACTGACCCACATTGTGTTCACAGAAGAGGGTATAAGAAATAAACTGTCAAAGCTAAAGGTTCACAAGAGTCCCGGCCCTGACATGGTGCATCCCAGAGTGCTAAGAGAGTTGTGCAATGAGCTTGCCGAGCCCCTGAAGATCCTGTTCTGTAAATGCTGGGATGAACAAAAGGTCCCCAGTGATTGAAAAATGGCTTATGTGAGTCCTATCTTCAAGAAGGGTGATCGTCACTCCACGAACAACTAAAGACTGGTGAGCCTGACCAGCATAGTATGTAAAGTACTTAAGAGCATTATAAGAGATGCCATGATGGAACATCTACTACGAAACAACCTCGTAAAGGATTGCCAACACGATTTTTTGCCGGGGCGCTCCTGCTTAACACAATTACTCAAGGTACTGGATATTTGAACCCATATTCTGGAACATGGTGGTAATATCAACAAAATATACCTAGATTTTGCCAAGGCTTTCAACAGCATACCCTGTGAAAGGCTGAAAATTAAACTGGAAGGGTACGGGGTTTGGGGAAATGTCCTAACGTGGGTAGAAGACTTTCTACATGACTGCAAGCAGTGTGTGGTGATTAATGGCACGAAATCATCATGTGTACCCGTCACAAGCGGGGTACCGCAGGGCAGTGTATTGGGCCCGCTGTTGTTTATTTACTTCATAAATGACATGCCTGACGCTGTACATTCCTCCATACAAATGTTTGCGGATGACGCCAAGTTATTTCGGGAAATTAAGAACCAAGCACTGTGAAGAGCTGCAGAAGGATCTCTGTAGGTTTAAAAATGGCTGCAAAGATTCAATGCCACGAAGTGTAGGAGGATGCACCTGGGACATACCAATGGTAAGGAGGAGTATCATATGTCCCAACGGGACGAAGAAACTGAATTAATTGAGACTAAATGTGAGAAGGACCTAGGTCATCTAGGTGTGTATGTTGACAATGAGCTGAAGTTCTCGGGCCATTGCGAGAAGAAAGTAGATCAGGCAAATAAATTATTGGGTCTTATAAGAAGGTCGTTCAGATACCTAGACGGTCCGG